TCAAAGCTACAAACACAGGCAAACGAATCCCACTGAACATCGACACACACACACACACACACGCTGATGCCAACTGGGCATCATGCGAGACAACAAGAAAGAGCGCGACAGGATTTGTGTTATAATCTTTGGAGCTATGGCAGCAGGACACAAGCAACGATAGCACTTTCATCAGCAGAGTCAGAGCTATACGCAATTGGTACGCAGGACACACACACAGACAGCAGCGCAGCAAAAACAATCGCAATGACAGAAGGTACATCAAAGAAAGCAAGGCGCGTCGAGCTGCGACACCTCTTCACACAACAACTTGTTAAGAGCAAAACCATCACAATGTCTTGTTTACATCAGTTTGGTCTAAAGGTACATCGCTTGAGAGGTACAACGTCGGTGGCAGACACCGGTTTTGTGCGGGTGGGCTACCTCAAGGACACAGACCAGGGCATTGCAGCGTGTCACAACCTCACGTTGGCCAACCGCAGCGATGCCCTCTACATTGGCCTCACCACTGAGGAGTGCATCTTGTTTGTGGGAGACACAACAGCCGCGGCTTTGGAGAAGATCAAGCGCATCCCGGGCAACCTTCACTACCCGGCTAATTTGGCTACAGCCAACACAACGGACCTCTACATCCTTGCCTGGCCGTGCGACCTGACCAAGCTTCTCGACCTCGCGTCCCGGTCCAGAGCAAACACATTCAACAGCGGCTACACGCTGCAACAGGTGCAGACCTACAACAACAGCGCATGGCTTTTGAGCGGGAGTCAGGATTCCTGCGCTCGTGCAACGTCGTTCTTCGGGCAGACAACATTATTACAGCTGAAGACCACGATGCAATTTTCGCTGGACTCGCCCAAGCGCTTGATTATACAGGACTTGTGGCATTGAGCCACATGAGCTCACAGCGTTCCACCGCTGTAAGTACAAAGATGAGCAAGCGCGGCTCAGAGTACAAGGTTGCAACAACAGCTGTGAAGCACTTGGAGCAATTGAGAGGCCGCCGCGAACATGCAGCCTTCCTCACAACCAGGAACAGCGTGATCTACCCCAAGTACATCGACAGGATCAACGAGTGCAGGAGGAGCCTCAACAAGGCAGACACACCTGTGGCTGACATCGATGAGGGCAAGAAGCGCAAAAGGACCAAGTAAACAACATGGTCTGCATTTGCCGTTTTGGCACACCGGATTTTTGGTACAATGGTGCAGCTACATCTTTCAGACATCAGGCCACATGAATGCAGTTTGTACAGATGTTCGACTCATTAGAAGCATGGATGTACAAAGTGAAGCAGCCAGTAGAGCTGATAACATCACTTCGCCCAGTTAGAACAAAACTGTTTGGCTTGTTGTAGGACTACATCGATCCAACAGAAGTTGTTAATATACATCCAACCTGTACATGGCCCTGCTCCTTTGCACATCAGGGCCTTGAGCCTACAGAAAGACTACAGCCCCTTGCCTGAGAGACAACCAGTGCCGCGCTGTCACACAGTCACATTCAGTTTAACAATATACAGATATGTGTACGTATATATATATATATATGTATATGTATACACACATATTCATATATATGTACCAGTCCCTGGGCCACGTACCCCCCCCCCCCCAATGGTATGGTCCCCCCACTCCCCCGCATCATCCGCATCTTGGGGATGATGCTGGCAATGCTGGGGATGCTGTCCAGTACCGTGCGAGCCCTGCAGCTTCGGTCCCAGACCCCCTTTCACCCCGTGAGCCAACACCCCCGCACCTCTCGCAACATCCTACCCTAAACCAAACCCCCCCAAACCCACCCGAAACCCACCGCAAACCAACCCTGAACCAACCCTGAACCAACCCTAAACCAACCCACCAAGCCTAAACCAACCCTCCGAACCAACCCACCAAGCCTAAACCAACTCCAACCAGCCAACCGCCCAACCACCCAACCACCCACCACCCCACCACCCCACCACCCGCCCCACCACCCCACCACCACCCCACCACCCACCCACCCCACCCCCACAGGGGGGGGGGGGGTTGGGGGGGGTTGGGGGGGGGAGGGGGGGGGGTTGGAACATATATACACAGGTATCTCCAAAGAACACTGTATTCGTCAGGAATGCAACTCTCCGCTGCACGACGCCCAGTGACACGCCAAAAAGCTGTTGTGCAAGATTGCAAGCCATACACAGGCGATCTGTGACGTGATGCAGGATCCACGGACATTCGGAATTGACTGTGGGACCCGCCAAAAGGGTAAGCTGGTTAGCCAATGCGAAAGCAGGTGCCCGAGGGAGGATGGACAGGAAATCCGCTCCGATTTATGCAAAAAGGGCCCGGGCCGAGTTGCGTGCGCAGGTGCAGCCTGCCCTACAGCACATGTCGGCCTTTATCCGGGACATGGAGGCGGGCAACTGCAGAGGTTGGGTCGTTGACGGGCTCTACTTGCTGATCACTGTGCGCGGGTTTGACTATGTGTTTGACTATGTGTTTGACTATGTGTTTGACTGTGTGTGTGACTCTGTGTGTATGCGTGTATATGTTTGTGTGCGTATGTGCATGTATGTGTGTATGTGTGTGTATGTGTAAATGTGTGCATGTGTGTGAAGGAGTGAGGGAGTGAGTGAGCGAAAACTGCTGCACTAGGTGGGAGCGCAGAGCCACTGCCTAAGCTCTGTAAGCGTCATCGCCTCCACTTGGAGTTGAAGCTGGCAAAACACCCCTCAGCCTCGGAGACGCAAATAGGTGCGGCCCAGTGCTGCTGCCTAGTCAGGCCAAGCGTAAGGGCAAGACAGCGTGACATCGTCGAACTGCAGCGTCTTTTCTCAGGCGCTTCCCATTGTGACCCCTCACAGTGGTACTAAGCTGACCACACACTGGGCCTCGTCCTAGCCTGAAGCAAACAAGTTATGGGCTGTGGGATGAGCCAATGCAGCAAAATGCAACATGGCTTGGACACAACCAGTGTGTACGCGTGTGTGTGTGTGTGTGTACGCGTGTATGTATTTTGCATGTAATGTACTGTAATGTAATGTAATGCAATGTGATATGATGTGATGTGATGTAATGTAATGTAATGTAAATGTAAATGTAAATGTAAATGTAATGTAATGTAATGTGATGTGATGTGATGTGATGTATGGTATGGTATGTATGTATGTATGCATGTATGTATGTATGTATGTATGTATGTATGTATGTATGTATGTATGTATGTAATGTATGTATGTATGTATGTATGTATGTATGTATGTATGTATGTATGTATGTATGTATGTATGTATGTATGTATGTATGTAAGTAATGTATGTATGTATGTATGTATGTATGTATGTACGTAAGTATGTATGTGTATGTATGTATGTAATGTAATGTATGTATGTATGTATGTATGTATGTATGTATGTATGTATGTATGTATGTATGTAATGTATGTATGTATGTATGTAATGTAATGTAATGTAATGTAATGTAATGTAATGTAATGTAATGTAATGTAATGTAATGTAATGTAATGTAATGTAATGTAATGTAATGTAATGTAATGTAATGTAATGTAATGTAATGTATGTATGTAATGTAATGTAATGTAATGTAATGTAATGTAATGTAATGTAATGTAATGTAATGTAATGTAATGTAATGTGATGTATGTATGTATGTATGTATGTATGTGTGTATGTATGTATGTATGTATGTATGTAAGCAATGTATGTATGTATGTATGTATGTAATGTAATGTAATGTAATGTATTGTACTGTAATGTAATGTATGTATGTATGTATGTATGTAATGTATGTATGTATATATGTATGTAATGTATGTACTGTAATGTAAGGGAATGTAATGTAATGTAAGTAAGAATGTATGTATGTAATGTGATGTAATGTAATGTAATGTAATGTAATGTAATGTCATGTAATGTAATGTAATGTATGTATGTATGTATGTATGTATGTATGTATGTATGTATGTATGTATGTATGTATGTATGTATGTATGTATGTATGTATGTATGTATGTAATGTATGTATGTATGTATGTATGTATGTATGTATGTATGTATGTATGTATGTATGTATGTATGTATGTATGTATGTATGTATGTATGTATGTATGTATGTATGTATGTATGTATGTATGTATGTATGTATGTATGTATGTATGTATGTATGTTATGTATGTATGTATGTATGTATGTATGTATGTATGTATGTATGTATGTATGTATGTATGTATGTATGTATGTATGTATGTATGTATGTATGTATGTATGTATGTAATGTAATGTAATGTAATGTAATGTAATGTAATGTAATGTAATGTAATGTAATGTAATGTAATGTAATGTAATGTAATGTAATGTAATGTAATGTAATGTAATGTAATGTAATGTAATGTAATGTAATGTAATGTATGTATGTATGTATGTATGTATGTATGTATGTATGTATGTATGTATGTAATGTATGTATGTATGTATGTATGTATGTATGTATGTATGTATGTATGTATGTATGTGTATGTATATATGTATGTATGTATGTATGTATGTATGTATGTATGTATGTATGTATGTATGTATGTATGTATGTATGTATGTATGTATGTATGTATGTATGTAATGTATGTATGTATGTATAATGTATGTATGTATGTATGTATGTAATGTATGTATGTATGTAATGTAATGTAATGTATGTATGTATGTATGTATGTATGTATGTATGTATGTATGTATGTATGTATGTATGTATGTATGTATGTATGTATGTATGTATGTATGTATGTTATGTAATGTAATGTAATGTAATGTAATGTATGTATGTATGTATGTATGTATGTATGTATGTATGTATGTATGTATGTATGTATGTATGTATGTATGTATGTATGTATGTATGTATGTAATGTATGTGCATGTATATGTATGTATGTAATGTAATGTAATGTAATGTAATGTGATGTGATGTAATGTAATGTAATGTAATGTATGTATGTATGTAATGTATGTATGTATGTAATGTAATGTAATGTAATGTAATGTAATGCAATTAAAGTAATGTAATGTAATGTAATGTAATGTAATGTATGTATGTATGTACGTATGTATGTATGTAATGTATGTATTCAAAATGCAATGCAATGAAATGTATGTATGTATGATGTAATGTAATGTAATGTAATGTAATGTAATGTAATGTATGTATGTATGTATGTACTGTATGTATGTATGTATGCAGGTATGTATGTATGTATGTATGTATGTAATGTATGTAATGTATGTATGTATGTATGTATGTATGTATGTATGTATGTATGTATGTATGTATGTATGTATGTATGTATGTATGTATGTATGTATGTGTATATATGTATGTAATGTCATTTAATGTAATGTAATGTAACGTAATGTAATGTATTGTAATGTAATGTAATGTATGTATCTATGTATGCAATGTATGTATGTATATATGTATGTAATGTAATGTAATGTAATGTAATGTAATGTAATGTAATGTAATGTAATGTATTGTAATGTAATGTAATGTAATGTACTGTATGTATGTAGGTATTTATGTATCTATGTATGTATGTAATGTATGTATGTATGTATGTATGTTTGTATGTAATGTATGTATGTATATATGTATTGAATGTAATGTAATGTACTGTAATGTAAGGGAATGTAATGTAATGTAAGTAAGTATGTATGTATGTAATGTAATGTAATGTAATGTAATGTAATGTAATGTAATGTAATGTAATGTAATGTAATGTAATGTAATGTAATGTATGTATGTATGTACGTATGTGTGTAATGTATGTGTGTAATGTAATGTAATGTAATGTAATGTAATGTAATGTAATGTAATGTACTGTAATGTACTGTATGTATGTAGGTATTTATGTATCTATGTATGTATGTAATGTATGTATGTATGTATGTATGTTTGTATGTAATGTATGTATGTATATATGTATGTAATGTAATGTAATGTACTGTAATGTAAGGGAATGTAATGTAATGTAAGTAAGTATGTATGTATGTATGTAATGTAATGTAATGTAATGTAATGTAATGTAATGTAATGTAATGTAATGTAATATAATGTATGTAATGTAATGTAATGTAATGTAATTTAATGTAATGTAATGTAATGTAATGCAATGTAACGTAATGTAATGTAATGTAATGTAATGTATGTATGTATGTATTATGTAATGTATGTAATGTATGTAATGTATGTAATGTATGTAATGTATGTATGTATGTATGTAACGAATGTAATGTAATGTAATGTTATGTATTGTTCTGTATGTATGTATGTATGTATGTATGTATGTATGTATGTACGTACGTACGTACGTATGTATGTATGTATGTATGTGTGTGTATTTGTATGTGTGTATGCGTACATGCCTCAGCCAGGCAATGGTTGACGATTGTTCGGATGCTGCTACTACTGCAAGCGCTGCTTTGTTTCGATGTGTTCTGTATGGCAAAATGCTGCTTAGAACAACGCTATTTCATCAGATGGACACCTTTTGTTCAAAAGCCCAAATTCACATAGACGTCCAGGAGGCCCGAATCCCTACAGGTGGCTGCAGATGTGCGAGTGGCGGCAGCGGAGCGCTGCTCGGCCGCAGTCACACACACACACACAAGCCTGCAATCTGAGCAGCCGGCAAGGCTGGCCTAGGCATTTGTTGTTGGGCAAGAGCCCACATCTCATCTTGTGTAAATGCTAAACGGTGGTTCGGAGAACCATGCTGTGCGTTGTTCTTGGGTGAACCAAGGGAGATGAGATGACTGAAAATTACTCGCGAGTGCTTATTGGTTTCTGAATTTCTCAACATCCGTGGTTGTTATCGACCAGCAGGGAAGTTGACGCTTGTGTTTCCACGCTCTCCGCCTTGGCTCTGCCAAATTTTTGAGGTATTGCCCTTTGCGAAGCGAGATGAAACGGAGGCCAGGCGTGAGCAGAGATTCATGGCCCGTCTGCCTTTGTGCTCTTAGCTTGACTCATGGCCTGCAATGTCAATTGTCAGGGGCCGCGGCATCTTGTGCAGTGTGCACGGCTTATTGGCGATTGACTGTCAAACATGCACATCTCTTGCATCGCCGATCAGCGCTTGGGCCTGTTCTACTGGCTTTGATGTTATATTCTTCATACTTTGGCGGATATGGCGCTGTTTACAACTTGAAGTGCCGCCAGAATGTTGGTAGGAGAGTTGGGGCATCTTGCGGAGGTTTGCCCAGAGCCTTTGCACCAGGCACCGACCATTGAGGCCAATCAGCCCTCTTTTGCCAAGCTGCTCTTTTCCTGGCCGATGAGCAACCAGTGCAAGCAACCCGCACTGCCATAACTCCCCTAGCTGGTAGGTTGGTGCCAGACATCGCCCAGGGAGAGTTGCCCAGGTGTAAAGCGCCATTAGCACAAAGGCCGTTAGCGTGCCTTTTTGTGCAGCCTCGGTGCTGGGGAGGGGGGTCGCAATGGGCAATTCTAGTCAATGAATTGGATGGGGAACTGTGAATATCCCAAAGTCATAGAAGCTTCCGTTGAGCTTCTGGGGCCCTTACATCACGACCCTCCATTCCCGATCTGGTCGCAGCCAGCACAGACTCGAGCACTGGTGCCCCTTGTTTCTGCCTCAAAGACCGCGATAGACTATTTTTTCAGCAGAATCTCGAGGCCGAATGGCTTGGTGTTTTTGAGCCATTTGTTGAGCAGGGTTGCAGGCCACAAGAACTGAGGAGCACTTGCTGCATGCCCATAGCATGTGGGAAAAAAGACAAGGGGCAGGTGGCGTTGGGCTGGGGCTCTCTTCAGTCACTTCGCGTTCTCACACATCATCATATCGCATCATGGAATTTGTGGCAGCAGCTTTCGGATGCTTCAGACACATTTTGGGGCCTGCATTGGAATCTGACAGCAGGTGGCAGAAGCCAGTGGCATGCTGGCGTTTCTGTTCACTTCATGGCTATTCTTGGAAAAATCTGCGCACACGGGCAATGTGCCATTGCAATCACGGTGAGAAAGCTTTCGACTTGTTTGATGTTCTGCCAAAGGGTACCTTGGGCACGGCAAGATCATTTGTCGCCGCATCAACCCAGTAGATAAGACTAGTGGAATTGAGGACGGACTCTGTCACCTGCCAAGCGGCAAGCAATCAGGGTACTGCTCACATGGATGCCGACGTTGACTGGTCATGTAACGGAAATTCAACGGACTTTGGTCAAACATGGTGCATCCCACACAGCTGTGGCTAGCCTGGGCCAGATCTCTCTGTGTGTTTGTTTGTTTGTTTGTTTGTTTGTTTGTTTGTTTGTTTGTTTGTTTGTTTGTTTGTTTGTTTGTTTGTTTGTTTGTTTGTTTGTTTGTTTGTTTGTTTGTATTGTATTGTATTGTATTGTATTGTATTGTATTGTATTGTATTGTATTGTTTGTTTGTTTGCTGGTTTGTTTGTTTGTTTGTTTGTCTCCGGGTCGCCCAGCTGTTCAGGGTTCGGGAGTTAGGGTTTAGGGTGAGGAAGGTGAACACAACTTGCAGACCTTGGCATTTATCTTCCGATTTCACCTGGTTCGAGCCTCCTGAAGCCCCCTTAAAAATGGGAATCTGCCAAAGGCACACCACCTCAACTAGCTGTGCAGGCAGCGCCTCGCAGTCCAAGACAAGCGCTGCAGGCGGCGGGAGGTTGATGGTGGGGAAATACAGGTCGCAGTTTGCCTTCGTTCCAGGATTGCAAATCGAGGATCGAGGGACGGGTCGAAGAGCGCCAGTGGATTTCCGTCTTCAAGGAGCATGCTGCCTTTACAGTTTCATGGCCCTCGGAATCTGGTCAACAGCTTTGTTTTAAGTTCAGATTGGAAAGCGATGCCGGGCAGGTGCTCACCTTGCACGCGGAAGCGCTGAAGCGTGGGCTTGAAACACAGCAGGCGGAGCGTGAGAACCTGCAATTCCAGGCCTGGAATCCCAGCTGCAAGCTCTTTTCTTGTGCCCCGAACTCGTGCATATTTGGATCAACCCCCTCCAACACAGACCTGCTTCAAGTAAAGAACCAGCCAGCCACGTCCACTGGTTTTCCCGACCCGGTTTACCACAACTGAAGGTGCGGTTGCTGGAGCAAGACCTGCAGGAGAGGAAGCCCAGCTTCCTGGAGCTGCAAGTGTCTCGCCTAGAGGCGCTGGGCTGGAGAAGGGGCTGAGGTGTCTGAGAAACACTGAGGTTGAAAGGCATGGCTCCTAGGCCGGATTGGGTTTCCTCAGAGCGGCCAGGCAGAGAACCGCACTGGAGCGGCCGTGCGGGACGAGCACGCACGGCTCAAGAAAAAGCTGGCAGAGCTCGAGGCGCTGGCCAGGGGCTCGGCTGGAAGTGGTCTACGTGGTCTTGGCTAAAGAAAATTCCAAAGCTTCAAGCAGTTTGTCATCTTCTGTCATGAGCCAGCTTGGTGTTGCCAAGCTCCGGACCGGGTCGGCAGTCTCCGGTTTAATTGGGAGCTAATCTCCTCCCCCGAAAGTACCCCCCCCCCCCCCCCACATGAATAAATTTTGGCCCGGCGGCAAGCGATATCTATTGATAGGGTAATTAGGGGTCACCGTTGGAGGTTTTTTGTCTTGTTTCTGCGGTTCAAAAGTACAAGGCGCACTTTATTTTGGAATTACACTTCATATAGCAACATTTTAAATAGTTACAGGTAAGTATGCATTTTGAATTTGGCATGAGGTTGGTGCAAGGAGCTTGGGTCCTGGACTAGTTACCCTCCGCCAGTAAGGCTGGGGCTGGCCTGGGCGAGAAATCCACCAGTTTAGTATTGGTTTAGAATCGGCCGATTCTAAAAGTAGTATTGGGGAGGGCGGTGTGGGAAACACAATATGTATTATGGCCGAATTCTATTACGAGGGGGAAGCGATTGCTGTACCAGCTACAACCGGGTACAGCCAGTGCAGGGCGGCACTTAAAAAGTTGCCAGAGGCGCTGACGTGACCTTTCTCCGAATGCATCCTCTGTTCAAGGCTAACTTGGAGTCCGAGCCGACGGGGACGGCCTTGAAGGCAGCTTAGAAGAGTCAGAGTTGTCAAGTGGGTGCTGGGTGGGTAGTGGAACCCAGGAGTAATAACGCCTGGTTGATAGATAGTGGGTGCAAAAAAGGGATCCTTCACTCTGCAGAACCATTGACCCACCGGGTTGACGAATCCGGAGACGACGTTGCTCGTTGCCGCCGCTGTTCACAGGAGACTGCAAATACCCCGGAGGCAAGCCGGGCTGGAAGAGTTAGGGCACACGAACCTTTGCATTCTCTCAAAGAGGGCCTTGCAGGTCTCAAACATAGAACTCTTCACAGAGTGCCATATTTTGAATGAGTGTGGTTGCAAAGATTCTCTTTCAAGTGTCTGCATAGCTTTTGCTGCATAGATGCCAACGTTTGCACATGACACACGTAGCTGTAGGTGCTACGCATGCTTCCAACAGACCATGTTCACAAATCGCCAAACAATATGTTATGAAAGCTCTACACAACTACTGATCGGTCAGACCCAGAGACCATTTTGGGTTTGAGGGAACATTTGGTTTACAAAAGGTGCCCCGAAAAGAAAAAACAACGGCCATTTGTGGGGCCTCAACTTGCCATCCCGCAGGCAGACGAGGAACTGAGTTTGGCGCGCTGGGAGTGCCGTCGCCTGGAGAAGCGCCTCGAGCAGGCGTTGGGGCCAGCCTGGGGTGGCTTCTGAGATGTTCGTTGGATGTGAGCCAGGCAATCTGTGAGTGGGATCGTGTGGAAGCTGTCAAACTCAAGTCGTCACTGTCTAAAGGTCGCATGAGTCATATTCGTGAAACTTCGGATGCCCACTTTGCAACATCCCTCATCTCATGGCAACTCAGCAGGCGCGCAGCTACAACTCCCAGCTGATGGAGGACGGGGCAGAGAGGCAGGTGACAGCCTGCACCTGATCGGCAGGACACTCAGCTACGTAGGTGTTGAACATGATTAAGCTCAAGGCGGCAACAGAGCAGCAATTGAGCACGGTCCGTGTTTTTGCATTCAACCCAAAAGATGCGGACTAAAGCACGTTTACACCACGTCGAGCTGTAGATAGCAGCAACCTTTCTAGCTTGCTGTGGAACATGTTGCAAGTTCACTCAGAAAGTCACCTCCTCACCTTCTCGACATCTAGGAGCTACCAGCAGATAGGTGCGGGCGCCTGGCACAGAGCTTCCAAGAAGCTGCCGTGGGCGTGGCTGAATGTCGCTCAGCAACTAGAAAAGAGCACTAAGAAAGTCAACCAGTATCGCGAGCAAAAAGGGATGCCATTGAATGAAACTGTGCATGTTAGGGTATGTAACATTATGTATATTCATAATATACGTGCATGAGTGCATGCGTGCAGTGCATGCATCCTTCCATCCATCCATCCATCCGTCCGTCCGTCCGTCCATCCATCCATCCGTTGCATGCATGCATGCATGCATGCATGCACAGACGCACATACATACATCCATGTATGTATAGACACACATACATACATCCATGCATACATACATTTACGCATTCACACACATAGATACACCCATGCATACATACATGCACGCGTCCATCCATTCATTCATGCATGCATGCATGCATGCACGCACACGAGCGTACATACTTACATGCGCACATACGTACATGCGTATACGCACATATGTACATACGTGCACACGTACATGCATGCGGCATCCATCCATACATAAGTATGCATATACGTAGGTACATACGTACATGCGTAAATACGAACATACATACGGGGCAATGTGTAGCCGTAGGCGTGCGCTTGCCTGAACTCCTTGTAAGTGTTCTACTTAGCTAACATTTTGGCTCAAGCGGAACCTTTTGCTGGTGCTTGTTCTGAAACCCCGGAGGAGCGCTTGAGCGCTGCTGGCAGGGTATTCAGGTTGGCGTAGGTGCCGATGGCCTTGGCATGCCTTTCGGGGACCTTCCTCGGCCTTCTGAAGCTGTCTGAGAAGGATGTCTCCGTGGACAGGTTCTCCAATGCCCACTCACGAAACCGTCCGTACAGCGGCTTTTTCGGAACCAGCCAAGGTTCCAGTACAAGGCCATCTTTCTCTGGGTGATGAGTTAACTCATCTGGATTGATCATGTCGATCTTTGCTTCTTTCTCCTCCCCCGATTCCTCACCCATAGGGGCAGGAGGGCAATGGATGAGGTGGAGCAGGTAGCGTCAAATCGTCTCCCATCAGCTGCTGAGGGTTAGTGGCTCAGTTGGATCTTGGCCCATTCTCCCAACTCAAAAGGATGCACCGGTTGCGCGTTGAATCTTTTGGTAGCGCCAACGTGGCGCTTCGAGGAGTTACACGAACAGACATACATACATACATAAGCGTATACGTACACACATGGTACCACATATGCGTTGCGCGTCTGGTCATTTATAGGTGTTAGTAGTGACTAGAAGCGGCAGCGCAATAATAGCTGCGTCTTGAGCAGGCACCAGCCCCTCAACATTGGC